CATAATTTTTCCTAAAAATAAATCGAGTATTAACAAAATTTGATTTTAAATGATATTTCATTTAAAAGACAGAAAATATTTTCAAATCATGATAGAGTACAATACCATTCTCGAATTCCCGCTCCAATATCATATCATTTTCTAATTTCATATCATCCACACGTTCATCTTTTCATTCTTCATTTCATTCGTAGAAACTAATTATCTTATAATGTTTTTTAATGTCTCTTTTATTTTTTTAGGGGTATTATTATTTAATTGATTATTATATTATATATTCAATTAATTTTCTTTTTATTTCGTTTTAGAATATGATGCTGCATTTGTAAGTATTGGATTTTCATCTAAAAAAGGAACATGCTTTCGATGCATTCCTTGCATCTTTGCAAATCTAAATTAATATTTTTTTTTTTCAGGTGCATTTCCAGTTTCTTTTCTCAATGGGTAGTGGGTAGATTTTTTCTTTGCGAAGAAAGGTCTACTTCAGGGATGCGACCCTGCCCACGCGAGCCTTGATTCTATCTTACCTCTAAAGATAGAATCATGTCCTTACCTAAAATTCCACCCACACCAAACGATCCTATTTTTAATAATTTGTTAGCAGGATGAATTGTGGAGACGATGCAAAATTCTTTTTAAGAAGAGATGAAAGGGGGATCAGAAGTGGATTGAGGTATGTTAAATGCTAGTATGACAGAATTATTTTTACAGGTACCATGGAACAGCACAAAATCAAGAAAAGTTCTATCTCAACAGTCTTATTTTTTCTTTAATTTACTTTAGCAAGAAAAACCATGGTGACGATGACAAATTCCGTTCAAGAGGAGGAGGAAGATGACTAGAATAAGGCTGAGTAATGGAAAACGGAAGTATAAAATAATTATTTCTATAAGTAAATGAATATTTTTAATCACTTTATTGTTTCATATAACTATTCCGTCCGAGAGGAGGATGAAACGAACCATAGGAGGACTGAGTTATATTAAATGATAGTAAAAAATAATTATTTCTATAAGTAAATGTGTGTGTGTGAATATTTTTAATCACTTCGTTGTTTCATATAACTATTCCGTTCGAGTGGAAGGAGAAGTGGATTAGAAGAGTACCAGAGGAGGACCAGAAGAGGACTTAGTTATAATAAAGGATAGTATAACGTAATAAATTATATAATTAAGTGTACTATTTTAATTTTTTTATTGTTCTCTCCGTAGCATCGCACGCGTGTGTATTTTATTTGTACATAGGTTCTATGGAACAACCCATAATTGCATACATTTTGTATTATTTTACTTTTTTTTATTTAGATTGAAAATTATTATGTATAAAATATTCATTAATTATAATCTTCGTATGTGTAATTATTAAAATTATATTGAACTGTATTAGTTTTCACTAAAATCGCCGATGTAACTTGAATTTTATTCAGATGCACTCCTCGTTTTCATTTTCTTATTCAGTTTTCAAACTTTTCTCTTCATTCTCGATAGTAATTAATTGTAAGGTTTTTCTGAATTAAACTCCTAGGGTGGGGCCTAAGAGTGGGGCTCATTAAAAAACGTTCTCAGGGTGATCATTTTCTTTGGTTTCAATTTAATTCGGATGAGGACATCTTCAGGATGCACATCCCGGGTCTTCGGAAGCGGTTACCTCCTCGTGGTTAGACCTGGGCAATGGTGTTTTACTTTCAGTATAATGTTTATCATATTTTATGATACACATTCCATTGCAAGTAAAATCCAGCCAAAGACCGCTTAATAAATAATTATTTTAATAATCTAATGCACTCTACTTATATTACAGGAAAATTTTTCGTTTGAAGTCGTCACTACGCAGGAGCATTAAAATAATTATGTAAAATCTAAGATATTTTTTGTACAGACATATGAAACATATATTTTTTCGTCATACACTGCATTTTATGAATGCAGGCTTCTCACACGTACCACGGGTATTTTAAATCGTTAGATTTAACACAACAAATCTTTCAAATGTTTTTCTATTTGAACGCCTTTTGAACTACTTTTTAAAATATATGTATGCATGCATTTCTGAAGACACACACACACGCATGTTCATACATTAAAAATTAAATATAATTATTTAAAATTCTGTTACATAACTCTTACTAAATATACTTTCAAAGAATATATCATATACTATCATATACTATATCAAAGCATACTATATTCTATGATAGTATTGTGTCGTCATCGCGTTAAGTACCTACTATCGCCTACTGGCGGTCAGGTTAGTAACTAAGATAAATCTGGTTAGAATAAAAGTGGACTCGTGAGCCTCTCTGTACTTCTGTACCGCAGATAAATTGGCATATAAGTTGACATATTTAAAAGAAAAATTATAATTTTCAAACTATTTACCTATTGTTTATACATTATAAACGATTAACTTATTTCTTTTCACTACCCTATAGGTTGTTACTTTGGAAATTAACTTTAAATATATTCCCTGCAGGTATACCAACTTTACTTTCATTTTTTTCCAAGTGCGCTTGCGCCTTGTATTTGTGGTCTCCATGATTAATACGTTTGAGCTCGTACTCCTTGTTTATTCTCCATAATTCCTAACCTTCTTTTAATTTCGAATAGAATTTTGTGTCTAGGATATATATAAACACTCGTTTATGCAAATATAAATAACTAATTTAAATCGGAGGAGGGTTAGTTTCTTATTCGTAGTCGTTGGAAAGCATGTCATGTAATATCATTCTTTTCTTTTTTTTTTACCGTAATCTTGTATACGTAAAAATGTAAATATTTATTATAAGTATATCCAAGTATAAGTAATAGTTTATTTTTCATAGTAATTAACATTACTTTTGCAGTTGTACAACGTTCTTATCTGGGTGCCTAGTGCGATACTAATATATATATGTAAATATATAATATGTTAATATAAAATATATATTAATATTGATATAATCTTATAAATATATAAATTTATATTCAAAGCCATGGAGAATTTGGGTTCGAAATCATTGTTAATTTCAAAATTGAGGATTAAAGATACTATAAATAAAATCAAAAATAGTTCACCACATCTACAGGAAATTCTTAGACAGGTTAGAAAATGATGATACACTTTGTTCAATAGTAAAAGCCACAATACTTGATAAATATTTTTTATTAAACGTTGACTTCAACTTTTTGACAATTTGTTCATACAGAGATCTCGCGAAGAAATGATAGAAAGAAGAAAACAAGTATTTAATAAAAGAAGATTTGCAAAGGTAAAAAATACTCATACGGTGTGGTATCAAAAAAACATCCAATGTTTTAAGGGCTTATAGTACTTATTAAGAAAAGTAAAACTTTTCTATTTATTCTATTTAATGTAATATTTGAAAGTGTACGTCAATTTATGATCCGTAGATCCCAGAATACATTAAATATGTTGCTAAAAGACTCTCTTATACTATTTTGAACGCTCATAAATAATAAAGTTAATTTACATCTAAGGGGTTGACTTTAGGATCCATGTTAATTAGAAATTTTTTATTTCTCTTGATAAGTACTATAAACTCTTATGATATCGGACTCTTTCTTTACCGCTTTGTATATAATATAATGCACTAAAAAATTGATAATTTATTAAAAGCTAATTGGTTCAAACTTATCGAAAAATGATTGTGAAGAGAATCTGGAAATGGAAGAAAATTTATATAGGGAACAAGGTAAATCTATTGTTTGCAGACTAAAACTGAGCTTGGTATTAAAAATCTTCAAAGGAAAAAGTTGTACTATTATAGAGAAAATCTAATAGTTGAAATAATTTTTTATGTTCTACAAGAATATCGTAAACAAAGTATATAGTTTCGTTTAAAAAATAACATTGACCTAATATTCTCGTAAAAAATTCTTTCAATCATTAGATTTTCCTTGCAATAGTGCAACTTTTTTCTTTGAAATTTTTTATTACGATTGTAAACAAAAGAGATATTTAGATATTCCCATTTATATGATTCACCCTATATTATAATACAAAAAATTGATATCTTTTTAATTATAGAGCATTGGATGCTAGCAGATTATGACCGTATGCTGCAGAAGGAAATTGAATGGATAGAATCGCTTGTTTATGACGATAAACAAAAAGTCATTTGTCCGATATGTCAAGTAAATTTAATGGTAGAAATATTTGGGACCGTATCTTGCGAAGTTTGCGGATTTCGACCAACAAATTGTAACAATATCCAAATGCTTGAAAATTCGATTGAAAATAGCGTTAACAATCACTCTCAATATTGTACCGCTGTGCCTGGTTTTTCGGTGGTCGAAGAAAACAAAAACTTTCTTTTGTACATGACATGCGAAACATGTTCATTCCTAACGTGCGTTATTTAATGTCTCTGTGTGAATTTTCCAAATATTTAAATACTTAATTTAAATATTAAATTGTGTGTTAAAGTTGATCGATTTCATTCTTTCTTATAATTGGTAGTTTTAAAATCAGTTGTTGATAAGCTACGTGGTAGGATTACACCGGCTTTTGTTTTTAGTAAATATTCATTATGATATTTTTTTGGAGAGGTGTATATATATATATATATACATCTAGAAATTGATCCTCAAATTATTGAGTTTAAAAACAAAGTTGAAAAAAGAGAGACAGAAAGAAAGAGGAAGAAAGGATATAATTGTTTTTTGTTTAAATTAAATAAAAATGCCATTAACATTATTTATTTTCTAACGTCAATAATTGTAACAAATTAGGAATATATAAAATACAATAATTAACCCATTATATTATCACTTTCTCAAGATTAACATTTGAAAAATAACAGTATACTATAGCAAAGTTTAGTTCATTCACGCGTATAGAAATAGTATATACAAAATGAACATTTCTTAGTTATTTTTTCTACTTTTACGTCCCATTTGTAAATATGTATTAAAACACGTCTTAAATTTAAGTAAATGAGAAAGACATGGATATACCGTATAGTTTGTAAGAAAATTGGACGAAAGAAGTTGAATAAATGAGAAAAAAATAAAGTATGATACAATTAGAAAAACGAGTTTTGAAAAATAAACAGCTTGGAAGAAAATTTATTTTTTTACGATCGTACTCCTTCCATTTAATGTAAGTATATATATACATATGTACATATGTACATAATTAAGATTGCTCGAAGGTGGATCCTCGACGCACCTCCGCTCCGCTCCCACGTTTATTTTTCTGCGCGTACATGATGGTACTATACGTACACGTATACAATTTCGAAAATACTTTTGTAGCTAAACTTTAATAACTGACATTTATAAATGATTTGTACATTATAACATTAAATAACATATTAAATGTTATAGTAGATTCTGGTAAATATATATGGTATTTTTGTATATGTAGGTAGTTTGATACAATTTATAAAGGCACACGATTAGAGACATAATTCATTTTTCTTTTTTCTCCTTATATGGCAAAAGCTTGGCATTTAAAGTCTGTTATTGACTGAATATTACGTATTACTTTAATACCAGTCTCTTGTAATAAGAGTTTCATATGGCACCTATATTTATGAAAATATTTTGAAACGTGTAAAAATAAGGATATATAAGAAATTTACACATTTTCTTTAAAGATCTTAATGTAGTATATCTAACTATATAATAACTATTTGGCATAGCTACATTTAAAATTAATCATATTGAACATTTAAAGTCGTATCTTGCGTTAAAATGAACCTTTTTTCCTCTGTTAAAGTTAGTATGATATAATAAAAAATCAACTAAATTAAATAAATCTTCAAGGATGCAACAGAATGCATTGAAATATCTTTTAAATAAAAACTTTTCAAGTATGCGGAATAACAATTGCATTTTATGAATAAGTTTGAATATAAATTTTAACGTATCTAAAATTGGTAGTACAAATTGTATGTACCAATGCAGTATGCAAGATTTTAGATAAAAGGCAAATTTTAAAATATTACTATAGGCAAGAAAATATGAGCGAGACTGCATTTGAAATCTCTTCGTATACAGCATCGAACATTTTAAAATAAATGTATTTAGTATTACCTACCTACCATTTCTCGTGAGTTTAATGGTAAGTTTGATAATTATATAAAAACCTTTCTTTATTAATATTACAAAATACGTTTTATATAATGAACGTAGCGACTATAGCTTCTTTGAAGGGTGTTGTCATTAATTTATATGAACGTATAAGAAATTGAAATAAATCGTATGAAATAAAAGTTGGTGGCGTATTATTAGTTATACGAATGCAAATTACAGAGAACATGTTTTTAAGAATGTATTTACGGTAATACATTATTAGCAATATCACAGAATTGACAGAATAGAATTCAAATGGCTACGATGCTAGTTTTGTTTGTATTTAGAATATCTGCATGGAATGATCGCTTAGCATTAAATTTTCTGTGTATATGATTTTAACAAGTGTAGCGATCGATTAGTTTCAAAGTGGATCCATTTTTGAATAACTTTGAAAAGAGCGAAAATTCGTGATGAAATTAAGTAAAATCAAACCCCGATAAGGAGAACAAGTAGAGAGGGGCCTAAGAAACGAAATAAGGGCATATGCAATTGTTTTACTCATAGTCAAAACCGGAATAAGTTCGGACGCTACGTTCTTTTCATAATCGATCGATTATTTTAAATGTTCAGTTTTCTTTTTGCGATTAGGATTTGATAAGAAATGTTGGATGTAGGAGTTATGCTTGAAAAGGTTTGATCAAAATATATAACATTTTTATAATCGTTATTAAAGATTGATAAAAGGTAAACCTTACTAGACAAGGTAAGTTTCAATTTCTACGATGTTTATGCGTCTTAAATTTGTTTGCGCATATATTTTTCCAAGAGATCTGTAATTTAAAGTTGATCCGTCACTGTGTAGATCGTCGTCTTTCCGTTCGATTAACCGCTGCGAGTGCTTCTTCGGGTAGGCGAGCAGGATCTGACAGAATATCAGTGGCAGTACACAGATACCTTAAGGAGTTAAGAACAGCTGAAAAATAAATAAGAATGTATAGGTAGCATGGTAGCAATATTGTCGCAGCAATGTAAAATGCATTTTAAAGGAGGCTTTGACACAAACCTGGCCTGAGATCGACGAGCGAGCAATGCTGCTCAACCCATAGTACCGTGCTTCTGTATAAATCTTCGACGCTTGCCGTTGATACCGAAGTATTAAAGGAGAGCATTAAAGGTTCTAACAAAATGCTAAACTGTACAAGTTTGTTAAGAAAAATCTTTAACATTACTTAGGTTAGATTATTAAGATGTCTACTGATCATTTTTTTTCAAGGATACGATCCAAAATTTCCAATTTTCTCTAGTACGGTTACGCACGTATTCGTCGAACATTTCTTTCATCTTATTAGTTCTATGCCTAGAGACTGGAGCACCCGTTGCAGGAAGCATAGATTGACAATTACTAAAAAAGATAATGATTTTATCAGATAAAGTATTTTAAATGATATACGACGTACTCGTACCTAATAGAAGTATTAAGGCACTCGATTTGATGTCTCAAACTATCCATCTCCTCTTTAAGCTGATTCCTCTCTGCCCTTAATTGTTTAATGTAATCCGCTCCTTTTTGTAACATGGCAGCTTTAGCTAATTTTGCATTAGGATTCTGATTAAGCTGCGGTATTAAACTGTGAAGCATATCAAAGCCATTCTTAATGTTGTATCTGCGTTTCTGTTCGGCATGAATATGACCGACCCTTCTTTGTTCCTTGTATTGTCCTCGTTCCGATTCTCCTTTAATGTAATTTCGCGGAGGCGATAAGGGACTACCGATACTCATTGGGCTGTGAAGGGGACTCAGACTCAAGGCTTGAGGAGAACTAGGCGCATTGGAATAATCCTTGGGCGAGCTAGGACTATTTTGCGATGGATGAGTTTGATTATTTGCGTTTAAGAGAATCTGTTGTTGACCACAATTAGATTGTATTCCCTAAAAGCGAATCGTTAGCGATCAATGAAGATTTTTGTCTTTCTCTTTCTATCCGAGTATCCTACCTGTTGGTGCTGCGATGCTTGGATAGAAGACTGTATTGCTTGAACCGTAACTGGTGTTGCAATATGATGACCGGTAGTTACTTGAGTGGCAGAAGCAGTCGGTGGTAAAATAGGTAGGATGTGTTTAACGTCATTAGATTGATTCGTCGTTGGTATTATTTTTTCGGTTGATGTGTTCATCGTACATATACCGGATGTATCTAAATGGGAAAAGATAAAATTTGGAAACAAGAAGAATTCGCAGAAGGTAACGCGGTAAAATATAATGCGTCGTTGTCATTGAGAAACCTTGTTACGTACTGTTTGTAAGGAGGTGCGCAAGCAGGACATTGTGATTTAAATTAAGAGCAGGGTCGCTAACTGCAGATGCCAAGGGCAATGGGTTTATCCTCGGCGGTATCAAGGAGGAACTGCTTCTAGATCTGTTTCGTGCTTTCATTTGGTACTGAAAATAAAGAGATTTAGTGTATAAAGAAAGTGTTAAGAATTTACGAGAAGATGTGAAAATATAGTACTATTTACGAACTTTAGGCACTGCAAAAATTTCCTTTTCCGACGTAGTTACGATTGATTGTGTTACTAATTTAGTCGGTTGCAGGGTAAGATCTAAGCCGGAAGATCTACACTGTAATAATATCGGCGATTGCGTTGGTTGTTGCGTCGGAACAGATACGACTTGTTGCGCGGGATGCGTCTGTCGGTGAGAAAATAAATCGAGGCGTAATATCGTTGACGTCAATATTATACTTGATATATCGTCTAGACTGTTGCGGATCACGTCACGATTGTGACAGCGTGAGCCGCATTCGTACCTTGAAATTATTGCCGGCGAATTTACATTGTTGTTGAGTATTAAAGTTTGGGCTGACGTTTGGTAGTTTGTAACAAGTGTTGGGTAGCGGTGGGACGATTTTGTAAGGCTTCGAAGACATCGAAGGGGTCGGTGGTAAGGATCTTATAGCACGCTGCTGATCAGCGGGCAATGTCGTATTGGTTTGCGCAAAGTTTTGCTGGGCAGTTACCAAATTTTGCACTTCGGCTATCGAAGAGATCTGTGTTGCATTAACAGGTTGATCGTTCAACGTCGCAATTTGCATTTGATTGTCGATAGGAGCCAATTGTACCGCAGTTTGGACTTCCATGGCATACGATTGCTGGCTTGACTGCTGCTGATGCTCGTAGCACGAATTTCGTTGAACTGTTTGAACATTTGGAACGGCTTGGACAACCTGTCGATACGCGTCCACTCGCTGTTGATGCGTCTGCTGTATCACGCGATTGGTTCTACCGGATCGACGATTTTCTTGTCGAGTTTTTTCTCGCGTCGACTGACCACCACCACTATTCTTCGTTGTTGCCGAGGAAGACAACGACGACGTCGACGACGACGACGACGACGACGATGACGACGACGAAGAAGACGATGATGACGAAGACGAAGACGACGACGACGACGACGACGACGACGACAACGAGGACGACGTCGCCGTCGTCCCCCCGGTTGTCCTCATCGCTGCTGTAGTCGTAGTTGTCGCCGTCGACCTCTCGACGAAATTTTCTTCCACGTCTCTGTAATTCATCTCTATGTCCCTATGTTCGAGAAAAGAATAATTTTTCGTAAGCCGCTGCGCGGCGCCCGCGCGTTCTTTAGACCGAAAATGGATGAAAATAGAAATAGGGGGAATGCGTTACATGTCATTCCTGTAAACGCTGCTAGACTCCGCTTCAGACTGGTTATATATTTTTCCGGTATAATGAAGATTCTGCATGCCGTTTCCCTGTTCTTCGGACAAGGCCGTAGATGATCTTTCGTCCTTGGACGTTACCTCTTCGTTTAGTTCGTTCATCTGACTGATCGGCGTCATCAGATCGAGATCGGGATAATTGGTGTTTAAGGTACCACCTCGAAACATGTCCTCTTCTTCCGGTACAGGCGGTAACTTTGAGTTTAAGAATTCTACAAATAAAATTTTTTAATTAAGATTTTGATTTAATACTATTTTCGTGCTTTTTGTCAGAAGATGTACCTTGTAATGGTTCTAAAGTGTCCATAAAATCGTCGAGATTCGGTTGGAGTGGTCCTAAACTTGGTTGAATGAAATCTGCAAGACTAGCTCCGCGCGCTATACGAATAATAAACATTTGCTTTTATCTTAACTTTTCTTTCAAGAAATGTTTGGATAAGTTAAGTTAATAGGTACCGATTTCTCTGGGATCTGGAAAGTATATAGGCTGATTGGAGCTAATTGTGGAAAATAGCGTATCGGTCATAAGCTCCATATAGTCTTCGTCAACCATCATACTCTCTCCGCCGTGAGCTCCCCCGGTGCCTCCATAAGCGTTCGCTGCACTCGTGCCAAAATGTTCCGATGTTTCCATGCCGTTGCTCCAATCCAGCGTGTCCATCGATTCCATCTGAAAAAACATTGTTTCCACTCAAACTTCAACTAATTTAGATTCGTCTATTTATTAATAGGGATCAAAAAGAAGCTACCCTACCGTTTCCGTACCATCCTTGTTCGTCCAACCAAGAATTTTGTTTCTGTAGAACATGCGCCATTTTTTATATTCCGCGGTAACTGCAGCAAGTTTTCTTTTCCAGTATTTGCCTTCCAAGACTACTGCCTGATAAAAACAATTGTAAGAAAAAACGACAAGGAAAGAAAGAAACAAACAAAGAAAGAAAGATTTTCCTCGAACTAAATAACGAGGATGTATTGAAGTATTGAAAAGGAAAAGATCGTGAAAATATTCTCTTTTGTCTTACCTCCGGCTTATTATGAGTGTCGACGTCGAGAGGCGATGCAAATTGGCACACCAACGTGTTCTGCTTCAGTATAACTGTGAAAACACGAGAAAAACTTTGTTAAGCTAACTACAAATAAAAAGTTGCTTTTGCCTCGAAGAAAAAACGCTAAAGCAAATGCCGGCCGATTTTTTCATTCGCGTTTAGATTTTCTTTGACGTCACGCGCGTAGCGAGAACTTTTCTCTCCGATTCTAAACATTTTCTTCTCCTTGCTAAACCAACTCCCCCCCCGTCATATTTTATGTTGAAAATTGAAAAGCGAACGGAGAAGAAAAACTCGCGTTGGAACTCGACTAAGAATAAAAAATGTGAAACACACGATTCCCGATCATCGCGACAATATTGAAAATGTATGCGAAACAGTGATCGAGTGTATCAAACGCCTTGCGCGAAACTCGTTTCTTTGCTAATTAGATACCGTTGCGATGATATACATTTGTATCTATATAAGACACGTATAAGACACGTATAAGACACGTATAAGACACGTATAAGACACATACGTACAAAAGGATCGATAGGAGATAGTTGACTAGTTGGGTAAGGAATGCCAGTTGGAAATAGTAGTAGTAGTAGTAGTCGAGAATAAAATGTTATTTGAATCTCGTTCGAAGAGAAAATATGAGGGACGAGTCGCGGGGATATCGGAACGAGAACGGGTTGCTGTTCAAACTGATTCAACATAATAATATCTTGAAAAATAAAAAAAGAGAAAAAAAACCGTTAAGCTAAGCGGATTACATTCGTTTTTTTTTTATAATATTTGTACTCTTTTGAGCAAACGAGAGAAGGAGGGGACACGCAAGAAGAAGGGAAAGAGGAATGGCACCGTGACTTGTTACGATTGAGAGTTCTCCTACAGTCTCATTTTCTCACATTGCATATGCCAACATCTCCAAATAACGTTGTTCAATCTGATCTTGTCTTTCCACCTCAGTCTGATCCCTTTGAAGCGATTCCACTTGGGAGACGTCAGCTTCTGTCTGGAACAAATTTGAACGCGCTTATGTCATATTACAGCTACATACTCTACATAGCCGTATTCTTCGAATATTTTTTTGTTTAAAGATTAAGTCAAGCCGAATCGCGTTCAAAGTTGTATAAAAAACAAAAATAAGAGGATAGTAAGAGGATTGGAAAGCTATCGATAAAACAGTCGCGCTTATCCCTTTTTAAATGATGGAAAGTGTAACAAAGACCTCGCCCCATAAGTATGCGCATATTAAATACATTTCTCTTGGTTGGGTTCTATCGAGAACTAAGAGATACCATTATAGCAAAACTATATTTTCTACTTATCCTCAATATTAAATAGCTACTTGTGTCTCGGTTATGCGTATATTCGTCTTTTTCGCTAAAGGAGAAAATTTTTAAGTAGAAAGAAGAAAAGAGGAAGAGTCTCACAAAATAAACGGGAAAAACATGCTTTTCCAGAAGAAATTTGTTTATTCAATTTTTCGCTTAGTTACGTAAGAAAGAATCGTGGGTGACGAGAGCGCGGATAGATTATCAAACGTGCGTTACGTAAACGTATTCTAGTCGAAGTAGTGTTATATTATATCGGAGCAGAAGGCATTGGAAGAAATATAATATATATATATATAGAAGGAGGAGCTTCGTTGAATCTCGCCTTTTACGAGATATCCATATCGTAGCAAGATCCTTAAACGTTTATCAATATTTCGTTAAAGAGCACATATGTTAACGAGCCCCAGTTACAAATTTGTCGTTTTTCGAATCGAAGAATAAATTCGGTAATCTTAGGATTGGTTATTCGGCATGTCGCAAAAAATAAGTTGCTCGATCGCAATCAATATCGATAGCGAGATGACGATACCGTCTAAAAAGGAATAAAAAAGAAAAAAAAGAAACAAACGGCGATACCAAAGACACGATAGGCGAACGCACACGAATACGAGGTTATCGCTTACGTAAGCATAAGACGTTGAAAATAAGACGCAAGTCAGTGAACCAATTGCAAACATTGGACGTACAGGAGGAATTAATTGAACAAGTATGAACAGTTGAATCCATCACAAATTCGAAAAGGAATTCTTTTAAGAATAAATAATAATAATAATATATCGTCGAAGCGCGAGATTTCTGCTAATAAAATTTGCCTTGGCATTAGACCCTAGTTATTTGGATTTTTTTTTCCCAACTAATGGTGATAAGATAACAAAGAGAGAGAGAGAGAGAGAGAGAGAGAGAGAGAAAAAATTGATCCATATAAACTTAGGGGAGATTTTATCGTACTCGCTTCACAAGAAAACATCTTTCTTTTTTCCTTAAATAACAAATATCGACGACATCGTTCTAGAATATCTTTCCTTACTGAGCAACAACCACGTTTTATTAGCTGGAAAAATCTTATGTTTATCTGATAACTAAATGCTGTTTACCAAATGCGAAGATAAACTTGACGAGCATTGCGACTAAAGTAATCCTAGTTAGTTAAAAGGAACAAGCTCATGACTAGTTTTTGACCGAGTTTAACAGAAGGAAAGGGCCGCGCCCTTTAATAGCATCTTCCTCGCGTACAGTTCTATGGCCTCGCTTTCATTAATTTTATTCCCCGTTTCTCGTTGACCTACCGAATGTAAAAGAAAGAGAGAGAGAGTCCCATTTGGACGTTGATCCATGCATCTCTCTCTTTCTCTTTCTGTTTCTTACAACGAGGCAGAAGACTCACCTGTAGGCCAAGGACATGCACTGAAAGAGCTTGTTTAAGGACGTTTCGATGCTGAGCTGTTGAGAATTGGGCTTGTAATTGAAGGTACCGCCCATGAACTTTTCCAAGGAAAAAATGTTCGGCGTCATAATCGCCAATTTGTTGTTTTCCTCCTCGGGAACAGGAACGGCGAGTTCGTCCTCATCGTCCTGCGCTTCCGCTTCGAAATCGGAAACCATAAAGTGGCCAGAGTGTATAGTCTCTCTGGAATCTCGTCCTAGGTTTTTTCTTTTGTTGTTAGAGGTCTCATCTTTTACTCCTTCGGATCGATCGAAGACACTACTTTGGCTCGACGTCATCATCGCCGAGGGCTTCCTGTAAATCAATCCGGATTGCATATTCTTCCTCTCCGGTCTGCTTGAGCCACCACGTCTACCTAAATACAAAACTTATTTTGATATATTAATAATTAACAATTATTATCTATCGGTTCATTTATTCTGACCTATTTCTATTACCTGTTGATCCTTCTACGTTTATTCGAAATAAATAATTAACAAGTGGACACTCCTTTGTTTCGGTTTAGTTTACAAGTGGTATGCGTGCAGCCACCACAACATGCCTAACCGCCGCGAGAAAGCCTGTTTACACAAAAATGAAGGTGTTGCGAACGCACGTGGGAAACGTTTTGTTAATTCACAATTAATTTTAAACTCCTGAATAATTTTTCCTCTTTTTATCGAGTTTTTTTTGGTTTCTAATCAAAGTAACCGTACCGACCTTTGAGATAATTTACGCGCCAAATATTTGTCAAGTTAGTAGTACGACTTGTAGTAATCTAATAAAAGTACTTACGTTCAAGCTTATCTATATCAACCTTAGTCCTATCTACCGATTTGTTAGATCGACTACTATCGAATTTCTTGATTGACGCGACGATTTGAGCAACGATCGCGAGTCTAATATCGAATTTTCCACTAGAATCGTATCCATCCTCGCTCATCGGAGATACGCTCAAACTATTTCCACTGTCGCCGGAACGTCTTTTATCCTACTGAAGGATTAAACTAAGCGATAACTTTTCTTTATCGGCCTAATGGTGACAAGCTCAATGTATGTGTCTGTGTGTGTGAGAGTTGCTTTAATAAAACATTATTTATCGCGTAAAAGATGATAAACTGATGATAACAAGATGATTCTTCTCGTAGTAATGGAGGACCCCGTCGTTTTATTCGAAACAACGCGTTGCCAGCAGAAAGGAGTTTACATTCCCGCTATATTCTGATAATAATGACGGAAGCTTTCCGTCCATCTATCTAATCGATTCTTTCGCAATACCGTTAGATAAATTTATCAATCAGCAAAGTATCTCGAAATGGTCCGGATTCAAGTCAACGACCTATCGACCTTTTTTTCACAACGGAGGAGAAAATTTGATTCGAACACAGTGAAATTTTCATAAAACGAGGAGGAGGACCACCGTTCCTCTATCCTTTGACCTCTCCTACTTTCCTTTAGTTTCCTATCATCGAGATTAACTTCGATCCTCGTCAACTCTGCATGCCAAGTCTCTATGTTTACGTTGGTAAAACAAAAACGCTAGGTGCGTCCGCGACTGCGTTCCCGTTTAATCAAGCGAGTTCCTATTTTTTCTCCTCTTTTTTAATAGGCCTGCCTATTAAATATCCGATGACTAATAAAATGAATTAACAGTAAATTAGGATAATAAATTATTCACTCTTTATTTACATAGATATAATTAAACAAAGCGATTTGATAAAAGAAAAGAAAAACACTAGAGAAGGTAGACTCTAAAAATAGGCAAGCAAGCAAGCAAGAAAAAAAGCTTGAAACAGAGTTTAGAGAGACTTTGGTACTCTAGATTGCAGCTTATGCAATCGTTGAGGTTCAATTCAAGCAAACATTCGATTTTACCCACACGTGTGTTTGCTACTTGCTCTTTCCGATAATGAGCGTGAAAACCCTCCTGTCACGGATAACCTTTAAACCGCCTCTTTGATTTTATCGCGATACCGCTTCAAAGCTATAAGCATTTTTCCTTTATTTATACCATTGCAAACAAATATAAACTTTTAGAAAATAACAGTTTTCTCATGTCGCTTGTCTCGTTACCATTACAAATGCTTTTATTCATTTTAACTATCCTAGTCTATTGGAAGATTAGAATAGGTGAACTCTGGTTGTATCGTAAAATAATTATGTTTATCGTTATTACAATTAAAATCATAATGGTTTGTTTATATTTTTACCAATCAATACAGATAATAACGCATTCCATTGAAATTGTTCTTTTTTTTTAATAATAAAATGTCTAATTAACAAATTTTTGTATAATTATAAAGTTACAAGATTTTTCAACGTTTCTGTTGTCTCGTTTTTCTTTTCTTTCTCTTTCTTTCTTTCTTTCTCTCTGTTTGGCTCCCTGATTCTTTGTCTTTATTGTACGCGCTATTTGTGACTTTGAAATTGGCTCTCTTTTACTTTCTAGATAGTAAATGTATATGGGCGCGCGCAAAAAAGAGACAAGCGCGTTATCTAGAAGCATAAAGTAGAAACGAGCGAGTGAATCAGAGAGAAAGAAAGAGAGAAAGAAAGAGAGAAAGAGAGAGAAATATAGAGGGGACGATATAGTCTTTTACTCGGAGAACGTTATCATAGATACTCGATAGGAAAGAGAACTGCTTAGCTATCTCTTTCTTTCTTCTAGATTCAAGAGAGAGAGAGAGATAGACAGACAGACGTCGTCATATCTAGAGGTACAACACGCTTTTATTCTTGATCAAATGCGCACCAGCTTCTTATTTTCTTTCCTTTTATATCGACTTACCTACTTCTTTATTTTATCAACGCTCTCTTGCTGTAACACTTTTAATTAATTGCGTCTCTCTTTTCGCTGATAACAACCACAACAACCAACCAACAACAACATCCAAAAAAAAAAGATAAAAAATGAAATTGAGGAGGAGGAGGAGGAGGAGGAGAAAAAGAAGGAGGAAGAAAACAAGGAAAGATCGTGGTAAAAGGATAAAAGTATAAAAACACTGATCGATCGATCGATCGAAAACACGCACTTTAAAAAGAAGAAAAAATGAATAAAATTCGTCGTCAGGCTGGGCCGCGAGGCACCGCGCCCGGACGAGGTCCGTACGCGTTACTAGACAGAACACGCACGTTCATATTGGCTTACAAGACGCCATTTGCAACTCGTCAGCACAGCGTCGTCGACCATCTCAATAGAAGCACTGATAGTTAAAGCTGATTGGGTGGGAGGCGCTGTTTATCCTGCAATGCACGCTCACTTTTCTTTCTATTAATCGATCATCGCGAACTCTGTTGGACGATGTCGCAAAACAATATCATTAAACGTCAAGCGCGCTTTTTTCAAATTCTTTTGTCCTAAAGTTTTCCTTCAACACCAAATCGGTTACTTTTTCAGATGATCCCTTTCGATTTACTTAAAAATTTTCTATTTTATTGAGCCTAAAATATACGTATTTATGACTTTCTTCAAATTATGTTTTATACAATTTTTCCTAAACTTGAATTAATTTATCTCTAATTAGTCATTTTTCCTAAACGTTATGCTAAACAAACAGAACTTCTAAGAATTTCGATAAAAAAGTTTCCTAGCGTTTCCTTAAAAGTTTTCGTCCCAATCTGAAAAATCTAATGGCGCTTCATCGCGATCAGGTGGATATCTATCAAAATTCCTTGTGTCCGTATAATGCTTCACCTACGAATAAAGATAAAGATAAATCATTTTTTTGCTAACAAACTAATCTTTGAATAAATCGTATTAAAATTACCGTAGGTTTGATGGGCGAAGACATAGACAAATTGTTTAACGATTTCCATTGGAAATCCTTGAACCATCTAGAGAGGATTTGTAGAAATCTCGTTAATTATATGTTCCTGTATTTCAGGCTAAATAATAAACAAAATATGCGCTTGCCTGTGATGACGAACATCCGCAGCACCGTTTTGCAAGTTGCCGAGCCTTTTCGTAGGGTCTGCTTTGAGCAAACGTTGAATAATATCTTTGACTGAATTGGAAAGTATTTTAGGTATTTGGACTGTCTCGATACCCGTGATGATATTATTGCCAACTTCGACCTCGTTTATACCTTGAAAGGGAGTCCAGCCGCACAACAACTCATAGATGACGATGCCCAAGGACCAATAGTCGGCAGCCCTTTGAAAGATCCAAACGATATACATAGGTAATAGAGTATCGATAAATCGATAATAGTATTGGTATAATTACCGACCTATTGTACCCTAAACTCTGAATGATTTCCGGAGCTAAATACTCGAGTGTGCCGATATATGTCATAGTCTTATAATGGCCAATGAATTTGCTCGATCCAAGGTCGGTCTACGGGATAAATATCGGATAGATTTAGTCAACATTAATTTTCATCTCGCCAAGGGGCGAACGAAGACTAACGGGATTGAAGGAAATTTGATTACAAGAGAGAGAGAGAGAGAGTAAGAGAGAAATACTTACGAGTTTAACGTAGCCGTTGTGGTCGATCAATATGTTTTCGGGTTTGAGGTCTCTGTAAATGATGCCAAGCGAGTGTAAATGATTAAGGGCCTCGACGATGCAAGCAGCGATGAACTTTACTTCAAAAGGTTCGAAACGAACCTTCTTTTGCAATTCCGTTCGTAGATCTCCACCGAGACAGATCTCCAAAAGGAAGTAAAGGTATCTCTTGTCTTTGAACGTTCGAAATAATCTATAAAATAGAAGATTGATCGTTTCCATCAATGTATAGGTCATGTGTGCTCTTAAGTATTATAAATATAATCTATATGCAGGCATCCCTTAAATAGCACGGTACTTGAATTGCACGAACCATCCGTTCCATCTTTGGAACCAAACGTACAAATTTGTATGAATTTCGAATCGCATGGAACGTTATTTCCAAAATTGTACGAATTATTATTATCGAATAACACGGAACCAATTAGCCGTGTTATTCGAGGGCTGCCTATATATCGATATATGTAATATAGACAAACCTGCAAATGAAAGGAGAATCACAAGCCATAAGATTGTATTTTTCATTGTAGATAATCTTTTGTAACTTATTTTTCGTGATCATGTTCTTCCTGACTTTTTTCCTAGCAAAACTGATATTTGGCATTGAATTTGTGATAACCAATTCCACTCTTCCGTAACCACCTTTACCGATTGTACTCTCGATTTCTAAATCGGCTAAGGTCAAATCGTGAAATTCTTCCTTCCAATTATCTTTAACAGCCGGTTTTTTATTGATAACCCATTTCTTATTCTTAATTGATTCTAGTCCACCGAGATAATCGATGAAGGATCTAAAATAGATTGTTTACTTTAGGATGGAATCCGAAGGAGACGAATCCTTCCGTGTAAGTAAATAAATCAATTTAAATGACTGCTGACTTACTGTCTATCGATGGTATAACATTCGGCGCCAGGTGGCAGAGCCACGGCATTTGCCTGTCGATGACATTCGGTGTCACCATAAAGTGCTTTCTCACCGAAATAATCACCCTTCTCAAGGAAAATCAAATCTTCCTCGCCCCCGTACGATTTATTTTTCGTTATTTTAACGTTTCCACCGTTGACTATGTAAAACTTGAAGCCTGGCTCTCCTTCGCGAAAAATGTAACTGTTTCCCAGAAAAAATTCCTGCAATTTCGTGAAAATAATCACCGATCGGAAATAAGGATTGATCGAGCATTAATTAATCTTACCACGACTATCAAATCTGACATCTTTGAAAGCACTTCTTCGGGTAATTCTTTCAGAATTTCGATCTGCCGAAGCATTTTAAGATTGTAATTCGTAGATTCTCTCATGTTTCTATTTACTATAGAGTGAAAGCTCTTCCTATCGAGTATCCAAACTTTTCCGTTCGTCAGTACTGAAATGAGAACAAAAAAATATGCATTTGATCGAGAAAGAAAAAATTAGGAAGATCAAGGATTAAGAACAGTAGTCCTTTATTCTAATAAGAAAGATAGGCCTGATATACCATCTATCGAGCATAATCTTTTGATATTATACAGCAAAGCAAGTTCACCAAAAGCCACTCCGGCTCCGAATCTTCCGTAAAACGTATTTCCAACGTAAATCTCAAAAGTCCCCTCTTCCGAGACGTATAGATGCGAGCCTAAACATTTGTTTCGTTCGAAATGAATTTGATTCGATCGAATACACTCTTTCTTTGTATCTCACCTGTTTCACCTTCCTTAATGAGTCTCGTATTAGCTAAAACCTCTCGAGGTTGCATTGCGGACACGAGTTTCTCTATGTTGGCCTCTCCAAGATTACCAAGAAATTTATTTTGCGATATCGCTTTTTTAATCATTTCCTTTGACCTGCGAGAAAATTGAATCTCGTTATACGAGCTGAAAGAAAGGAAATGAAAAGAACGACGACGGGTGGGGAAGAAAATGAAAATACAATACCGTTCATTTTTATCGTAGTTCAATATTGTCGTTTCTGTTTCCTCGGGCTCACCGATAACGCCATATTTTCGCAAGTTCGTTAAATCACGATAAAAATCCTCGGTGCCGTTGTTTGACTGTTTTCCTTTCCATAGTTTAACCGTGAAACCACTTCGAAACTTCTTCAAAGACATTCTCTCTCTCTCTCTCTCTCTCTCTCTCTCTCTCTCTCTCTCCCTCTTTCTTGGCCCGCTTACAAAAACGAACTTTTAAAAAATGTTCACTAAGAAATCCAGTTTGTTTTGCGTTTTTTTTTTCCTTTATCGGAATAATCAAGACATTTTGAAAAATCTTATCGACTTCTTAAAAAAAATATTACTATTATACATTAATCAAGAATAAAGTAGGATAAAGGATAAAGGATAAATTGTTGATGAAAAAAAAAAGGATTACATGTGCTACCAAATATTTAGCAGAAGGACAATAGATAGTTGGGGGGGGGGTGGGGGATCGACGAGACTGATAGCTCGATCAAAATTACCTTTAGTCTTTCGATTGTGGTATCTCCGAAAGATATCAAACTCGACTGATTGATTCCACTAACGGTCATAAGCATAGATCTTATCAGTCGAGGATAACACTCCTGGTTGGCCTGGTGCATAGAAAAAAAAAAAACTATTGAAAGATAAACCTTACGCGTTTGCTATTTCATTTAATCAGCTACCATACTATTTGTTTAAAAAAGCTCTTTGTTTTCGCGGTGATAAAGAATTGCGATCGATAACAATTACGTCGATGACAACGCGTCGATCACATAACTTTGATTGAATATTTGCGTCTAATACCGTATATTCTTTTTTACACGTATTTGTTTGGAGATGTAACAATTCCTCTTAACAAAAGACTTCGAAATATTTAGAAAAATTCTTTATTGAAAAACATATATTCTCAAGTTTCAGCTTAATTTTATAATTAATTTCGACGATTTCGATGATTTAATGTTTTGCGAAAATTAAAGGTTCAAGTAAAAATAACAACTACAATGTCATTTGTTGAATTAAGACACCAAAGATGCGTATCGATGTATAAAAGTCTAATTGATGAGAATGCTGAAGAATTACTAGCAATGGCGGATTTCCGGTTATGACGGTAACATATACAATCGTAAGAAAACACAGCAAAAGTCTTTCCCAGAGCTTCGATGAAAGGTATTTCAAACATTCTATTGTAGAGAAGGTAATAAATCGGATATCACGTATCTGATATCACGAGATAATTCTTATCGCGTATCTAGGATTTTTCTTTTTCTTCATCTTCTTCTCCAAAAAACAAGAATGCGTTGACATTATGTGTCATTTATTATTTTATAGTCTTATATTAATCTTATCAAAATAATGCGCCATTGTGAAAAATAAGAATCATCTTCGATGCGAATGATGAAAAGAAAAATCTTCTACTAATCAGAAGTCCTTGTCCCAACCTGAAAATTCGTCCGGCGGAATATCTCGTTCCGGTGGATATCTTTCGAAATTTCGTGTATCGATCCGATTTCGTACCTAGGAAAAGAAATGAAAGAAATTAATTTTGTTTGAATTCCAGAGGCTTTTAAACAAAAACAGGGTCGAAAAATTCCGAACAGCGCAATAGATCTGCGATCGCGTTACTTGGAACTCAAACGGTTAAGGAAAAGGAGTATGAAGGGATAGAAAAGAGGAACGTGTTTAAAAGTACAACAAAAGGTAATATTTACCGTTGGCACTATAGGAGCAGGCAAAGCTAATCGTTGAAGAGCTTCCCAATTGAATCCGGAAAACCATCTGAAATAAAATAATGAAATGAATTATTCGGCAACTTAACGGTTACCCCTTCGATATGTCTACAAGATTAAACAAAATTTCATTACTTGTGATCGCGTATATCCTGTATGCCATTTCTTAGATATCCCAGTCTCTCGGAAGCGGAATGCCGTAGAAGTTTCTTAATAAAATTGTTGGCGTGTTTATTAATAACGCTCGGTATACCGACGACTTCAATCCCTTTGAGAATCTTGTTGTACGTTGTCATATGATCGGCAGCACGGAAGGGTGGTTTGCCAATCAGGAGCTCGTGGGTCAGGATGCCAAGGGCCCAATAATCCACCGCCCTTTCGTTCGATAGCAAATAAATAGTAGTATTATTTTTTTTGTTGAGTTCGATTATAGGAAAGATAGAGAGATAAAGAGAGAAAGAAGGAGAAATGATTACCGATCATGTCCCTTGTTTAATATTATTTCCGGAGCAACGTATTCAGGTGTACCAGCAAAGGTCCACGTTTTGGCCGGACCAATCTTTTTGCTGAATCCAAAATCAACCTGCAAAGAATTGAAAGATAGAAGAAAAATATCGAAGCATATTGTTTGAAGCTAAGTACCAAAATTAAGGACGTACCAGTTTGAGGTAGCCACGAGAATCGAGCATTAAATTTTCCGGCTTGAGATCTCGATAAACGATATTCAATGAATGTAGATGATCTAAAGCTTCTACAACGCAGCCTACCATGAATTGTGCCGTTGCATCGTCAAAAAATCTTCTCTTTTGTAGGGTCGTCCAGACGTCCCCTCCCAGACAGATCTCCATCAAGAAGTATACGTACTTGGAATCTTTGTACGTTTGATAAAGTCTAGCAAAAGATGGAAACAATGATAAGATTGTTTAAAGTTTAGGCAAGTTAAAGACGTACTTGCATATGAAAGGTGAATCGCAGGCCTGCATTATGTGTTTCTCATTGAGAACATGCTCCTGCTGTTGCTGATCAACCATAACCTTTTTCTTCAACTTTTTAAGAGCAAAACTTTTATCGGGATCATTCTTTAAAGTGACCAACTCGACGCGTCCGAAACCACCAACGCCAAGCGTTCCTCTAGTTTCGAGATCAAATAATGTCAGATTTGAGTACTCGTTCGTCCACTTTTTCGGCGTCAACGAACTCTTTTGTTTTTCGTATTCGGCGAGCCAATCCTTGTTGCGAATTTCTTCGAGACTGCCCAAATAATTGAGGAAGGATCTGGAAAAAATGGGTCGTCAAGAAAAACAAAATGCCGGATAGGGAGTGAAATATTGACAATTAGAAATGATAAAAACAGATGACTACTAACGATCCGTCTAGGGTAAGACATTCGACTCCAGGTGCAAGAGCGATCGCATTCGCGTGTCGACGATGTTCTCCTTCGTCATCGTAAAGAGCCTTTTCCCCAAAATACTGTCCTTTACTGAGAACCACTAATTCCTCTTCGCCACCGTATTCGGTGTCCTTGGTTATTCTTACGTTTCCTCCACTAATTATGAAGAACTTGTCGCCCTTTTCACCTTGCCGTACGATCCTTGCGCCCGCTGGAAAAAATTCCTACGAGCAAGCGAGCGAACCTTTCTATAGAAGAGATTTCGAAGTCTAATAGAGATGACAAGTCGATCACAATTAGATAATGAAAATATTCTTACCACGCGTATGAGGTCGGAGATCTTTGCGAGTATCTGATCTCTCGGTTCAGGTAGTTTCTGAAGAACGGTAACTTGCTGGAGGAAACGGATGTTACCTTCGAGGCGTTCCTGGGCACTCCTCATCATCACCATTAGAAATACCGTCCTATCCAGTACCCATACTTTGCCAGACTTCTTAACTAATCGCAAATGGATAGAAAAAATATATTATTGGTAATGAGAAGAGAGAATGAAATCTATTATATGGCTATTATTTGTTGATTTACCTTCGATAGAACGAAGCCTTTTAGTGTTGTAAAGCAAGGCTATCTCTCCGAAGGCAACACCAGGGCCAAAGGTTCGTTGAAACTGGCTACCTTGATATATGTCGAATTCTCCCTCCGCCGACACGTACAAATGAGATCCTGACAAAAAAAAGGCATAGAGCATTGTTTTCGAAACGAGTCGAGGAAAAAAATTGATAGGCGCGCGCGCGCTCACCTATGTCTCCTTCGCGAATGACCATCGTATTGGGCGCCAATTGTTTCGGATACATGGCAGATACGAGAGCCTCCACCTGACTGTTTTCGAGATTACCAAGAAACTCGTTCTCCAAAATGGCACGCTTTATTTGCCTCGCGCTCCTGTACGTCAAATAAATTCTAATAAATGGAAGGAAGCTGGAAGGGTAGACGGATAGATGAATAAATAAGAATTACCTAGGATCCTTTTCGTAGGAAGGTATAGGTGCCGAGGTTGGCGGCGTAGGTGTCCTCCCGATAACACCCCCGCGAGGATTAGCCAGTTGTACTTGCTCGTATTCATCTTTCTGTTCGACTCTTTCCTCGTGTGTTTCTAAGGGTTCCCGATGACTAGTCACTCTAGGAGCTTCTATGACTCGACTTTTGCTCGAGGTCACCGTTCCATTCGATGCAATAGTATTTGGTAGCGGACGTATCTGTCGGAGATACGAAAAATCGCGAGGGGAATGACGAAAGTTAAGAAAACAAATAAAAGGAAAGCATTTTTGATACTTACGACACCATAAGTAAGATCCGGCTCGCCTGATTGTTTGTAACTGGATGCGATGGGACTTCTCGTGCTTCCGTTCTAACGCACACATTAAACACAGACACAAATAGAAAAATAATAATACTTGTCGTGATAAGACACAGTGCTAGTGGTCAAGGTACTTTTAATCCCCGATTAGACGAGCGATAAAATGTCTATGTTTTGATGTGCATAGATATTATTTACGATAGATATTATTTACGAATTGGAAAAAGTACTCACCACGACGACCGACGAAACGTTTGATCCGCCATCGGGGTCGTGCGTAAAATTGATGCTACCTCGTTGACTGAGAATACTCGCTCTCGGAAAGCACGAGAATCTCATCATGTTTCTATCATCCAACGCATTTCTCGAACAAACTCTCTTTACACCTAAAATCACAAGATTTGATTTTGTTTTCGAGCTGAAGGAATACGTAACAGCAATCGTTTGCTCGTCGGCGAGCGACTGAATGCCATTAGGCTCATTTTATTTCTTTATCTATTCTTCGTTAGCACACTTTGCCTACGTTCTCTGTCATTGGCGGCAATGGTGGCGTTAGCGGTGGCGGTAGCGGTGACGGTGACGGTGACGCCGGTGGAACACGCAGAGGAGAAGGAGGAAGAAAAGCAAGAAAAAGGTGGTATCGTGCGAAAAGGGCTTTGAAATTGGTTGCCATTTCGTTATTGAAAACACGTGTCTCACACGATCGTCTCGAGCAGTCACATGATTATGCTAATGACGTTTAGTACTCATTCGTATTGCGATTCGTCGTTTTAATGTATTAGCGCCTTCTCGTCCAATGAAATGATTCTTCTCATATACCTTGATACTTAAACTTTCGAAAAATGAGATTTCGCGAGGGTCTTATTAAAAAATGAACACGATTTTTGATGCAACCCTCTCTACGAGTTAATAACTCTTCGTGTATTAATTGTCATTCTTGAGATGCTCTTGATCGAATCAGATATCTAATCTCTACATGCTTGTATTACACGTTTTGGAAAGGGGAAAAAGTACGCTTAACTCTCTCTCTTGTCTTTTTCTATTATTATAACAATAATAAAAGTGCCCACCAATTGGAGTAAAAATCTAACCGAATGTCTGACGAAATAACATGTTTTTCTCTTTTGTTCTTGGCTTCTCATTAAGTTTACGCGACTACTATAGACAGATAGATAAACTTAATTACCTGCAAATAAAGCTTTATCGCGATAATGACGCGGTAAATTCTAAGAATTATGCACCTCGCATGAGTTTGTTCTCGCGGTCGAGTAACATCGCGCCCATTCGAAATAAAAATTGTTCTATAATAATGATAAATGATTATTTATCTAAAGATACAAACGAGGAAACTCTAGATACATTCATATATGTATTTTCTATCCTTCTCCTAATTAAGCCAAAGCGATTATTGGGCTATTTTAAGTAAAAAGTTAAACGAAAAAAGACGGGCAAGGTCGGTACCACCAAGGTGTACACTCGCTAATGTATCATACGACGATAAGGATATTTGATTAAGCACGAAAGCCGCGACGCGATCGTACCGAAATGTTGATCGTGTTACGATATACGCTGATTAATCGTCGGACTTAATAGTAACTCAAAATTTGTTTTCATTCGACCGAGAACGATCGATCTAATCGATTATTCGTACTTTCGTTTTGCTTCGTTCATTTCTTTAAGGATTCAATAATAAATGTAAACGTAACGTAACGTAACGACAAATCAGCACGATGACAATGATTTTACAAATTTATTGCGAAATTTGTCCTTTCGTTGAAATATAAATCTGTCGTTTTTTCTACGAAGCTTCGAATCCTTCGAATCAGAAAATCAAATGGTGTTTTCTTCTCTTTCGATCGTATTTTTGGTCAAAAGAGTAGAAATAGAGAAGAGAGAGAGAGAAAAAGAAAAGACAATAGGATTTAGTAGCGTTTGCTTTCCTGGAATTAACGAGACTCGTTAAACGCGCACCCACAATTAAAAAGCATCGTTATATCTCTTCGCCTTTTATTGTTAGCGATCGCAATACGAGCCAAGACACAATGCTTTTATATTTTTATCTTCTTTTTCTTCTCTTTTTTTTTCTTTTTTTCTTTTTACATAACGCGGAAGACGTTTTATTTCGTCTGAAAGCGCGGAAAAGCGACGGAACGATATTTCGCAATGACTGACTCGGTTGCACAACGATCCCGATGGCGTCATTCCTAATAACGAAAGAAAACAAAAGTGAGACAAATGAAACAACACCGAGGAGACCAAGAGATCTTCTATCCTGTGATAATTTTTCAACTTTCTTCCACGTTCGGGATGAAATTTGCTTCATTTCGATGTACGATCATACCAATATGGCCACAATCAAAATTTTCCTTTTCCACGATCGACTCAAGATTTAGGGAAATGAATAAACAAGATCGTTTATTATTCGGACTCACCCTTCAGCTTGAGAAGGAAAATCTTCTTGACCAAATGAAAATAGAAAAGGGAAGTAGTATATTTTGATTATTTCAGAAATTCTAATTATTCAATCAAATTTTTTCCTCCTTTATTCGTTTTTCTCGGTGCACCACTCAAATTTGTGTATTCGACTGATATTCCAAGTTTGACAAAGACGCAGAAATCTTATCTAGCCGATAACGACAAGACGCAGTGTCAACAGATAGGTATGTACGCACGCCTATCAGAGAATCTTATCTAACGAGTCTATTCTCCTTTCGATTAACCAACTGAGCTCTTCTTAAATGACTCCTAGTCCCTTAATGTATTATTAATTTTCTCTTTATCTCAGATAATTCGAATATACATTCGTTAAGTATTTGTCAATATTATAATTAGTAATTATTGTATAAATAACTTCGATAAAGAGATGATCCCCACAATTTGTCAAATCTTTCCTTTCCAAAAATTCTTAGAAACTTGCTGTTCTTAATTTGCTTTCTACAAAAGCAAAAGCAGAATAAAATTAATCTTGCGTCACATGTTTGTTACGTAAAAATCGAGCACACCTGCATCGATCGCGATCATTGATTATAAATGAATTAATGAATAAGGTGAACGAATCTTTTTTTCTCACTAATTGTAACTCTTCGATTTTCGATTAATTCTATAGCATTGCTCGCGATAAGAACCCTAACCAAAAGAAAATACTTACTTTATATTATGCCAATCGCAGCCGTCACTTTGACGTTCTTCTTTTCGAAGATTCTTCGGATATCTTCATATTTGATACTTTCTTTCCTCTTTGCTATTCTACTCTTTTTCAAATATAAGAAACTTTGTTGGTTCAATCAAGACGAAAGAGTAATAAAATTTTCCAGCTTTTTACGTGATAACTAGTGATTAAAATCACCGAAAATGGAGTAACGTTTGAAGATATAACATAAGCATCCTTGACATACACCTTTTGGTGTGATTCAATTTATGGAATAATTGTTTGTTAGTACGGTTTTATTCTTTGTGTTTCGAGAAGCCTATCTAGGTAAGCATTTAGGTAAGAATTTTGAAAGATCCAAAGTAAGGCGTCGTGTCGTTTTACATCGCGTTCAATTGAGTTGATTGACGAGTGAAGATAACCGAATAGTACAGCGTGTTATCGGGGGGCCGGCCACGAAGCTACTAAAGCGAATATACGGACTTCGGAATTTTTCACGGTGGTTCTGTCGACGTCGATACGTTGGCCGCAGGTGGCCAGCCTCGACCCTGATCATGCTATCAATGATTATCGGTATGCGTTTGCTTACGTTTATTTTAACACGGCCGAATGACAATATCAGCTATATGTAATATATATATATATAGATTAATATATGTATATTTACCGATATTTTGTGCGTCGATGGTCAGATCCGGTAAAAGAAAGGACACTAGATTTTATTTGAAAAATATTTAATAATAAACATTGACAATATACAGAGAAAATACGCCATAAGAAGTCGCTATGGGAGTAATAAGAACCTAACAACTGGTCCAGACTTAGAAAATATCATCAAATCAGACAATGATAAAGGTGTTACAAACAACACCTTTTATCCCTATCAGTATTTTGCAACTAAAGTTCGCGATGATTGTATTTCCTGTTTCTCACGTTTCTCTCTCTCTCTCTCTTTCTCTCTCTCTCTCTCTCTCTGATTCCTCTTCCTTTTGCTATGTCATATTTATGTATATATATATATATATATATTCAAATATATATACATATACTTATATATACATACATATATATATATACATATATATACATATATATATATATATATATATGTAGGTCTATAGCGTATCTTTTCAATTATGTTAAAAGTTGTGCGCGCGCGCGCGCGCGCGTTTGAGGGATAATGTGCAAGAAAAAAAAAATGAAACGATTCGCACTGTGAATTATAGCAAAATGTTTCTTGTCAATTTGCGAACGAAGACGAAGCATTGGAAGCGTCATTTTCGTTCGCGAATCGTATCCACTAGAATATATAAATACGTATATTGTTTAGCGCGCTAAGAGAGAAAAACGAAAATTGACAGGTATCGCTCGTCTAAATTGTTCGCTCGTGCTTTTTATTTTCTGCGTTTGCTGAAGAGTTTTTTTTTTCTTTTCTTTCTTTTTTTCCGCCTGTTCCTTTCCATTTACTTTCACACATTACAATTTAATTAATGATAACATTATTAATAATTCAGAATATAAAGTTTTTAAAACGAGAAGAAAAAAAGTGTTCTTGATTCGAAGAGGTACACGAGATGCGTTTTCTCATTTTACTTATACGCGTTATTACGCTCTCTTGCGCACGCACACACACACACACACACACACACACACACACGATAAACTTTTTACATTCATTCACTTAACACACGTACGCACGCACGCACGCAAATCTTTGACCTAAATGTAGGTAATAATCATTGTTGTGCCATCAACGCTTTAATGTCATGGAACATTCTTTTTCCTCGTATTACATATTTTTATTTTTATTTTTTTTTTTTTTTTTTTCTAACATTTTCTTTTGCAATTATTCAAAAATGGGCACGCGACTTTTGTCAAGATTCATTATAAAGAGCGTTGGAATTTGTCCTTGTTGCTCGGCCCATGTTTCCTTTACTTTATATTGTTGCTTTTACGCTATCTATTTGTATGTGTATCTATATATATATATATGTATATATATATATGTTTTTTTAAATTTTATTTTTTTTTTCTTTCATCTTATCGCAAGGAGTTGTTGTTACTTTTATTTCGAGACAACGATTCCAACTCCTTTCGAGTATTACGGGTGAATGAGTTTGTATGAGTGTTACACGTGTTATACTTGTTGTCCTTTCTTTGCCTCCTGACGCAACGTCGATTCTCTCGTATAACTAATTTTAAGACGGTAAAAAGCACAGAGAGATCTCGGTTTACGCCCTGCCTAATACGCTAGGATATGTTGCTCGTTAGATGTGTCATTACGTCATGTATTCATCTAAATTTCATTAAAAATTTCCTTTAATGTTAATTAATGTTTTATATCGCTAGTTGTAAGATTTATACGTATAACATACGGTGCGTATCATTGAATAACGTTCTATTCTGCTCGCTTATCTCTTGATTTTTTGTTCTTCCATCCTTTTTTTTCCCCATTTCGTTTTGTTTTTGCATTTTTGTAATAACTAATCTGATAGAAAGCCGCCGACACGCGAGAAATCATGAAATGAATTTAGATATTCAGTGCTTTTAATTCACGTTTCTTTCTTAATTATTTTATTACAATTATGTTTGGATAATTTTTTTCTTCTTTTCCTTTCGGTACACTCGATGATTTTTTCTAAGGTATAATCGACTAAGAGTCAAATGAAAAAAACCCTCCTGGTATTTAAAATTGTCTTTACACGGTTTTTTTTTTCTTTGTTTTTGTTTTCACTAAAAGACAAAAGTCAAAGGTTAAGAAGAAAGAGAAGAGAAGAACGAAATATATAATTGTGCAGTTGTGACGCGCTTTTTCCTTAATTTGAGCTTGACTTAATTTCTAGTAACTATTTTATAGTGATGATAGCCTACAGATAAAGATATCGATTACGAGTTAAGTATAAATTTTAGTCACAGTTTACATTACATAGAATTAATTCTGAAAGCAATTCGTTCATTCGAGACGCATTCTTTGAAATGTTCAATATTTTCAATGGGATTAATGAACTCTTCTTCTAAATACTATAGTGGTTCTATTTATTTTTTGTTCAATTCTTCTTTTTCTCATTAAAGAAAAGAATGAATTATCGACTTTAATAATAGCCATTTTTCGAGCTATCTTCTTCTTGGTTGAATAAAGTTAATCGTAATCGTAATCGTATTTTCTAATCCTAATCGTAACTTTAATCACGTAGCAATTAAGATTACCTCATTTAGACATTTTCATATTTGTTGGATATTGTGTTAGGATCTAACGATCCATCATCAATCTTAACGCTTAAAAGAAAATTATGAGTATATCTTGAATCCTCTTCGGCTACGCTCTTTGTGCTCGACGATCGATCGTTCTCTATTTACACATTTATATAACTGGCAGCCATGCACACGCAAGCAAAAAGACCTCTTTTTTTCTTTTTCTTACATTAGTCCATTTGGAAAAGTCTCGAGAGATAGAGATAGAGATAGAGAGAGATAGAGAGATAGAGAGAGAAAGAAAGAGAGCTATGCATTGGTAATCTTATTCTAATATTCTAGGGAGATGTATAAAGTAAACGATAAAATAACGGTTATTCTAGCCGTTAGATAGGTAAAAATAAATCTTTCGTCATATTTGGCTACTATCGTGTATATTCCTCGCATTTTTCATATTGCCTGTTCATCATCCCCTTTCTCCCTCTTCCATTTATATCGTTTACTATTTAGGAGCGTAAATCTTGCGCGCGCAACGATTTCCTTATTTCCTTCTATTTATTCTATCGTAAGAAATGTCTTATTCGCTTACGTATAATATTTAGATTAATCCTCGCGCGCTAATATTGTAACTTAAAAGATAAGGGTGTAGGGTAATATATATATATATATCACTCTCACTCGTCTCAATGTGCGTTCAATTTTCATTTCGATTTATAATTCACATTTTTCGATGGAAAAGTGTAAATTCGATTTTGTTATTCCTCTTCCGTGATATCTATTTAATTCTTTTAACTATAACCGGAAGAAGCGAGAGCAAGGAATTACGAATCTTTCAATGATTTATATTTTTCTTGAGAAATACGCGTTTCTCGAGACAAATTGTTTTCAGCAAAAAAACTAACTAAGGACCCAATTTTTTTCTACGTCCCCGTTTGTTATCATTACTAAGATATTCAATTAAAACAATTATATGCAAAGCTTAATACCAAAATCTTTCTATAAAAATTCACAAATAATTAATTGTACGCTATCACGGCGCGTGAGTATATAAAGAACGACGTATCAAAAATATACATAATGATATTATAAACGTTTTATACGTTTATTTGAAATACGCGAAACAAAGATACACAAATTGTTCGTCGGCATCGAGACTTTTCCTTCTTTTCCCGTTTCCCCGATTATTCGACAGATCGATCTTTGAAAAATACAAGGACGATTGTCGGCACGATATAGTTAAGCCACAAACACATTTCTTTCATCAATGTTAAAACTTGGTAGCGATTAATGCGCGTATGTGTTCTCTCGTTAACGAGAGCCTGTGACCACTATTTTTCTTTCTTGCTTTCTTTTCTTCTCAATAAAAGATCTTTCGCGCGATGTAATATCGTTAATAGTAATAGAATGATAAAATAATATAATAAAATATTAATAATAATAATAATAATAATAAAAATAGCAAGTGCCTTAGAAACTGAACGTAAACGTGTTAAGCTACATTTGCACAAGAAACGTACGTTTCGATTTGGTTTATCGACTTAATTTCTATCGTTTCTAGAATACAATGTAAAGGGATAAAGAGGGGGAAAAAAAAAGAAAAAGAAAAAGAATAAAAACAAAAAGAAGAAGAAGAAGAAGAAGAAAAAAAAATGGAAAGGCGAACGAATATTTCGAAGGGACATAATATATTAGGCATACGCGGTAGCGAGTCCTTCGGTTCGCCTTGCCAGAGTATTGAATACGTTTTCAAATCTAAATTCTTCATTATAAAGAATCAGAGTTAGGTGTCATCTATTATTTTGAATTCGACGTTGAAAACGTTTGCGATGTTTAAAAATCGGTGGTGCTTCGATTAGGAACCGATAAGAGAGAGAGTATCTGACTAGACCCCGTCGTTGAAAAAATCCAGTGCAACGTCCGGCGGCTGCTGTGTATTCTTCGTTGTTCAGTCGCGCATTTTTTTATCAAAATAACGCGAATATCACTTTTCTAAGAGAGATAGGTGTTTTTCATCCGCAACCATTCAGTAGAATGTTTATGCTTTCTTTCTTTAGCTTTTTTTTTCCAGACTGCTTTTGATAAATAAATTTGAATAAGAAAGAGGGGAAAGGTCTCTCTCTCTCTCTCTCTCTTTCTCTCTCTCTTTCTCTCTCTTTCTCTCTTTCTTATTAATGATTTAAAAGACGTAAATGTTCGAGGACAAAAAGAGCGTGGGATGATTTGGTCAAGCGATCGGGGAGGACGCGTCGTTGATGGTGGTGGAACGAGGGAGGACAGCTGTTCTCGAACGTTGGCAGGCGCGAAGGGTCCAGACGTCGCTAGCGCTTCTTTCCTTTATGCTTCTTTTGCGTGTAAATGTTAAATGTGTCGCCTCCGTGTAGGTAGTTGCATATGCGTGTGCGCGAACATGTATCCGCTCTGCCGTTGTATTGCGATTGTGTTATTGGCGACTACGTTGTTATTGTCGCTTTTCTGCTCATGTTTTTTGCCGACCCTTTTTCTAAGCTCTCTTTCTCTCTCTTTCTCTTTCTCTCTCTCTCTCTTTCTAAGCTCTTATTTAATAAGGCGTAAATCTGTTGTATCCGCCTCTATAGACCGTTGCCTAAAAAAACATAAAAGAAAAGAAAATTTCAGTTAAGGGTCAACGATATATTTGATATATCTATGATCGTCTAACACAACATTTTCTTCTTACCCCGTATCCTGCGACTGGACCAATGCCGTGTCCGAGATAAGGGTCGGGATATTCTCGTCCATAACTGCAGCAAAATCATAATACGTATTTAGAGATGTTTTTGTTAAATCAAAGGGGGTAAATCATTATGAAAATGGCAATTGGTATCGACAAAAAGATGATAAAGAAGAAAGAGAGAGAGAGAGAGAGAGAATGATCACAGGTATAATACAATTTTATTAGGAGAATAAAATGAAAATAATAGGATATACGAACGAATTCGTGATATGTTTTAAAATTTTTCATCGGGATTATCATTGGGACGTTCTTGAGGAGTAAAGGATGATTGGCTTTCGGCAATTTCTTCGAATCTGCGACTCCTAAGAGCTCGCCCGCGACGACGATTCCTTCTGCAAAGTTCGACAATGCAACATGGATCATGTATATATAAAAAAAAAACAAAACACAAAAACAGTAGTTGCATGGACTAGAAGAAGAGGGGATTAAGAGGGGAGAAGAAGAAGAAGAAGAAGAGGGTTGGTCGTTAAGTTGCAATAAAGATAATACTCACCCCGCGACTGCGGCATATCCTGCGACCGGTTGTGCTGCTGCTGCAGCTGCGCCGTATGCGCGCGCAGCCACCGCCGTGTAGGTTGCTGCAGCTGCATAACTCGCTTGCTGTGCCGTCGAGAGTGGCGTCTTTAGCAATGGCGATGCTGCGGCCGCCGCTGCAGCTGCCTGAAACAATAATCATGACCCGCCATGCAAGGCTCAAAAGCAAGCTCGAAGTATATGAACAAAAAGAGTAATGGACTAGAGATCGATAGTACAAGAGAGGAAAATATAATAATGACAGACACGAATACGATATAAATAATTATTTTTTTTTAATGTTATATAACATTGTGTTAGGACATTACTGAGACGATGACGATGACTCGCGTATAAAGGGGCCAGGCCAGGGGGGTGTCTTTCTAATCATCGTCGAGACGATTTATATATCAATTTTATCTATCAAATATTTTTTTACAATACTTATTAATAATTAGGAAATTTTTTTGAATATTGCAAATAATATCTCAGGAGAGAGAGAGAGAGAAAGGTGGAGGGAACAAAGCGATGCAACATTTTAAAAGCCTCGGGATTCCTCAGTTGAACTTAAAATACGCGACGCGTATCTCGCAAACAGGGGCAGGGTGAGAGGCGGGGGCGAGCTTTGGTATTTTATTTCTCTCTCTCTCTTTCTCTCGTTGTAGTGTCGCACCGACGATGATGGACCTATTGCGAGCAAACGATGTTTAAACGGTGTTTTGTTGAGATCGCTCTCGTGTCATTGCCAAAAAAGCAACATTAACGACTATGTTAACGTCTTTACGATACAAGGGAATATTCGCTACGCGACCCTCTCTTCTATTTGTCTAGCAAATTTAATATAACTTGGAAACGTTCTCGAATTGCGTACATTTTTTATTGGATGAATTTACTATATATATATATAATAAAACTTTAGTAAAATTTATCTTACGCAAGAGATTTATTTTTAACGAGAAGATACAACAATTTTTTTTCCGATGAGAAATGAAGCGAAAAAAGGTGATAAACAAAAGAGGAAAAAAGTATACGATTCATGCGAAGACGAAAAATGTCTTTTCGAGAGAAGAAGAAAAGCCAAAGTGCATAGATAATTTTGAATGACTATAGCGTGTAGGTATCTATGATATGTCGAAGCAAAGATGTGTGTGTGTGTGGAAAAAGATAGAGAAAGATAAAAGGAGAGAGGAAATATTTGCAGTTACTCTCCAAAGATGTCCTTCTTTTAATCCGATCTATCGATTACGTTTATGATAAAAAAAAAAAAGAAAAAAAAAAATAATCATCGACCTCGACACTAGACAAATTTTCCACAAAATATTCCCTTTTCTTTAACTTACAAAAAGGCAAAACTTCGATTGCGAAAATAGGAACGAGTGCAACGAAAACAAAATTTAGATGGCGCCAGAAAAGTTTCGCATCTTTCGTAAACAAGAGAGAGAGCTTGTTATTTTGTCGACTGATTTGAAAGAAGCCATTACGTGTGGATTTAAGGTGCAAGATAGAAAAGAAAAGAAAAGAAAAAAAAAAAAAAAATGAAATGAAAGAGGAAAAGGTTACCCTTCTCTGTACTTTTCGAAAGCACGGAAACGATCTTTCAATAAAGTTTTCATGAACTATTCCTTGTTGTTATGTTTTTTTTTTGTTGAAAGGGAAATAATTATCTACTTGGTTCCACTAGAAGCANAAAAAAAAAAAAAAAAAAAAAAAAAAAAAAAAAAAAGGATAACGGAAGGACGAGTTCGAAAACACGCAAGGAAGAATGACGGTAATGTTCATTCAATAAAGTTTTCATGAACTATTCCTTGTTGTTATGTTTTTTTTTTGTTGAAAGGGAAATAATTATCTACTTGGTTCCACTAGAAGCATGCCTAGTGGTATTAAAAACATTAGTGTAGGTCGATTTACTTAATTGAACATCTTTCGACACTTTAGATACTTTGCGGGGAAACGCAAAAATTCGATGCCATCTACGAAAGGTATTGCGATAGGTTTTATGCAATATTTAAATCTGTATACGTATGTACAGGTATATATACCTACGCCTACGCAAAGATATACACAAGTTTATTGAATGCGAGTATAATGCAAATTATTACGAATGCACCGGCAAGGTATACAAGTAGTACCTATATGCAACCCAACAAATAGAGAATTTGGCGTTAATAAATAGAAATAAAAAATATGTAAATAATAATAATAATAATAATAACAAATATAGAATTATTATCTGGTGTAAGAAAAAGAAAAAACGTATGTAAGATCTACGTAATCGACGTGCGCGTTACGTAACTTTGTAACTTGGTACAATTGTAAAACAATAGAGATGCAACTAACGAGATCACGATTGTAAAGAAGAAAAGGGGGGAAAAGAGCAATTGAAAACGGAAGCGAAGCAGCGATTTCATTTCACCCCGGAGAAAAGAATCCAAAATATAAAATAAATGGAGATTCGATTGTCGAAAGAGTTCTTTGTCGCATAGCGTTCGCCGAACTCGTTAGATTTTCTCCTTGTTTGTAATATATTCGAGGGGGGGATAAAGAGCTGAGAAAAGAAATTTAATTCAATGGTGTAAAAGGTTGCGATCGTGTTCCTACATCTTAGGATTAATCCTTGATAAGTAAGGAACGGAATTGGTAATCTCGTTTTCAATGTGGAACGTCTCGTAAATAGGATCACCGTGTGTCAGATAAAAGCACAAATAAGAAAAAAAAAGAAACCCCCCCACTCGCACGCGTCTACTCTCCATTTTCCAGACAAAAGATTATGTTCCCCGCTTGATTCGAAGATAAAAGAGAAATATTTGCCAAAGCGTATTTATAAAATAATGCAACTATTATTATGCGAAATGATATTTTACTTGTAACACAAGTTCGGCACATTTCTTTTTATTTAATTCCAAATAAGCGGATGTTAATTTATTCAATTGCTAATTCTACGATCGAGATCGGCGAACATTATTTGCGATTTTTCGCGATAAGCAAGAAGAACGATATAAGAAGAGTATAATAAAAAGAGACACGTTATTAAAAGCATAATAATATAACTGTTTGTTTTTTGATAATAATTTATGAAAATATAAAATAAAATGAAAATAAATAAAATAGATAAAGAAATAATGAAAACAAAGGAGAGATATAGAGAAATACGTTTGAATGGGCGGACCACCCCCATCAAAATCCTACCTCCAGAGCGGGTGCTTTAGCCTGAAACACAAACGGCAAACCTGAAAAGAAGTTTCAATGCGCGAGGATATCTTCGATAATTGCGCTATTTACATAATATTTTATCTACCACTTTTTTTTACCTCTATTCTTTCAGAGAAAAACCAAAAAAAAAATAGAAATAAAAATCGAAATAAAAGAGAAGGAAAAGGATAAAAGGAAAACAATCTCTCTTCTATTAAAGCATTGGGAGACAACGTTTGCTTTCTCTCTCTCTCTCTCTCTCTCTTTCTCTCTCTCCCTTCAACGGTGAGGCTTTCACTCTTTGCGATTTCCTTTTTACTTTGCACATCTCTTTATGTTACCTATATAAAGAGACGTAAGAGACGAAAGAAAGAAAGAAAGAAAGAGAGAGAGAGAGAGAGAGAAGAGAGGCTGGGTTCTTCCAGAGATTTGAAGAGAATAGAAAAAAAAAAAGTGAGATAGCGCACGTCGCAACGCGAAAGGCAGAGTAGAGGTAGAGAAAGAGTATACGACGAGTAACAAGTATGCGTGTGTATGCAGTAGTAGTAGTAAGATCATGGAAAACAACGACAATGCCTGCTGCTGATCGACGATCAAAATAAAGGCGAGAAGTAGAAGAATGATTCGTGACCCGAAGATCATTATTATTCGGTGCTTTATTGCATTTCGTGTAATAGCAAGGCTTGCAGAAAATAATGTCTTGACTAACTTCGGCTGTAGCTTGTGGCCATTCCAACTAAACGGGTCCGTAAATCAATAGACTTTAGTTTTTCCTATCAAATATCGAAATTGTCCGCTTTGACACGGTGCACGCGCGATTTTTTTCATCCCCTTAATTATTATTATTATTGTCGTAACGAAAATTTTCCTTCTTTTCATTATTACAGATAAATATCATGGAAAGGGGCCGTGTTTTTCCATTCGATTTTATTTATTGTCAAATTGTAAGCAATCTCGCGAATGCACATGCATGCACGCATATATGTTTGTGAAAGAATTCACTTTTTTTATGCATAAAGCAATCGCGGTTCGAATAAGCTGAAAAAATATTTTTGTTGTTGTTTTTTGTCGAGCAAAACAAGGAAGCGGTTCCATGAACAAAAAAATAAAAACAGAAAAAAACGTATAACCGATTAGGTAAATTTGCCAAATTTACGCTCTGATATTTTTTTCGTCATTCCTAATATAAGCAGTGCACCCCTCTTACGCGTCTCCTCTTCCTCTTCCCGCCGCGTTTGTCGCTCCGTGCACCGGAAGCGGATATTATCTTGCATTGGAAAAATATAATATCTCTCTCACACACACGTTGAAACGTATAATCTCACCTGTAGCCTGTAATTGGGGTCCTGTGTCGCTGCGTGTGCTGCCAAGAAGGGGTCGTAGTAGACGCTGAAAAATATTCAAATCAACAAAATCAGCGATTATATATTTTAGATATTTTTTGGCGAAGAGATGGAGAGGGGTGGGTTCAGGTGGAAGAAAGGGTTCAAAAGATTTATATATATATATTATTGATGAGGAGGAGGAGGTCGAAGAAAGTTGATCGGTCCTTCTTTTTTTCTTTTTTAATTTTATTTAATTTTTTTCTCCTCGATTTTTATTATCCGATTGAAAATTTAGGAAAAATTAGGTGTTCATTTGTCGCGTAAAAAATTGTTGCTCGAACGCGCGTCGACAAAAAAATCGACGAAGGCAACGAAGGACGGTTTCTTTTGTTGTCTGATGTGCTTGCAAAAAAAGGGAGATGAACTAGGGGATAGGGGATAGAGGGGAGGGGCTCTCTCCTCCATTCTCCGTAGCTATAAAATGATCGTAATTTACGTGATGCATTAGGATTAGTTCCTTGCTGCGATTGGAATTCGTGCAGATGCAATTCTATATATTCTCAGGTATTATATATTATATTTACACACCACACATGTATGTTGGTATCTATTTATCTATGAAATACACAAAAGCAAACGGGCAATACGTGTGTTGGCGAAGCTTCTTCTTTCTTTTTGCGACAAACGATTCGTCGTCCTTACAATTTTATTGTACATATTTCATAAATGAATCGTTAATATAATAAAATAAATATCGTTATTTTATTAAATTATTTTCTCATGCGTTTAGGAAAAATTCGAATCGTTTGTCGCGTATAAGCTTTATATCTCCTCCTTCCTCTCGATGATTTAAAAAAAAAATGCATTGTTTACCACATAGATCTTACGATCCGGACAAAAAAATATGTTTCATGCAAAAGATTCTCCTCGATCCTTTTTTTTTGTTTTTTGAAATCGATGCGATGCCTGCCGGCCGGCCGGTCGACTATCTCAAGATAAGACATGCTCTCTTTTTCAAATTATTTTCGTCGCATTTATTAATCATTTTGATCGTTTATTTATCGCAATGATATTGGAAAAAAAAACCGTAATGTCGTTTATATCATTATTACGAATCGTTTTAGACGCGAAACTTTTCGCATATTTTTTATGATACAATTTCAAAGATGTCTCTGGGAAAGTGGAAAGATTGAGTAAAAGATGACAGACAGACAGAAAGAGACAGAGAGAGACAGATAGAAAGAGAGAGCAAAAGCGTCGAGAAGGGAAAAATAAGTGTACTTACGCAGGCGCAAAGGGATGAAGGGCCGTTGCAGCGGCTGCTGCTGCGAGCGGCCCTGGGTTTCTGGCCAACGCCAACGCCGCCGCACTGCTCGGGAAAGCTGCCCTTGCCGCTCCAACTCTTCCCCTTTGGATTGCCACTCCTCTTAATGCTGCAGCTGAAACAATGCGCACATGCCAACATTTTGTTTTCTTACCTTTTTTTTTTTTCGTCTTATCTTCAATTTCTTTGCTTTGCTTTTCTTTTTTTTGTGTTCTCGCATTATTTTCATCTCCTCCTCATTTTGTCAAGTTTTGCAGGATACATTGATCGGCGTTTGGTTGGATACTGGTTGAATGCCGGCGAGGCGACTAAATGCCCGAGACGAAGCGCACAGACTGTCTTACGAGATTTCCTTTTATTTAGATAGATAGAGATAGACAGAAACAGAGAGAGAGAGTAAGAGAGAAAGAGTGAGAAAAGTAAGGGTTATAGGAGGAGAGAAAAGTTTCGAGAATGTTCAGCATCTAATAATCTACGATATTCCAAAAGTTGCATGATTTTTCAACAAAATCATACTCGATTGTGTTTCAGAAGATAAGAAAGATTACGCGAGTCAGTTTTCAGAATTAAAGAATTAACATTTAGGAAGGAATATCAAACGAGAGATTTTTGTTCGTTTCGTCAAACGAGACGTTGTTCTTCCCTTTTTTTTTAATCATCTCTCTCTCTCTCTATTCCTCTTTATCTCACTCTCACTAAAGACGAACTAAGGAAGAAAAAAAAAAAAAAGAAAATAGGAAGCAGAAGAGAGGACAGATGGGGATAGATACTTTTCTGCCTACCTTTAGCCAGCATCCTTTGGCGTCAGACTTTCGTTGGCGTTAAATAACTGCTTGAAAAGTGCGAACACGTATACGAGGCGTACATTCACCGACGTTAGCTAGCTAGCTATCTAGATATTCGCATTCGAAAAGAGACCGTCATTAATTTACACACGCGCTTTTTTTTCTTTTCTTTTTTTGTCCCCTCAAACGAAATATAACGATGTCGAAAAAAGAAGAGAGCATTCCGCGAAAATACGTTGTAGGGGGGTTTTTTTTTTTTTTTTTCAAGTATATCGTACGAAGAGACAAACACGCTCCCCCCATTTTACAATTTACGGTGCCATCCTATTTTTTTTTTTTTTGCAATGAACAATACAAAATGAACCGACTCGAACAGAGTGTAGTAGTATACTTGTTAAATTTAACGACTGAAGTAAGATAGAGAGTGAGAGAGAGAGAGAGAGAGAGAGAGGAGAGATACGCGAATCTAAAACAATACAATTACAAAACGTAATCTCAATCCGAAATATTTCTTTGAAAGTTTCAGTTTCTTTAATAATACGAAACTATAAGGATGGTATACGATAGTTCGGTTCAAAACGTGTGAATATATCGATAATAAATAACAACAATAACATTAGCAACACCAACGCGAAACAAATAACAACACCAAAAAAGGTAATCGATAATTTATGAATTTTACCGAACAAGTTGGCTCTCTTGATCCACCGTTGTCGCGAGTATATTCATTTAACTTTGACGATAGGTTGATTGATTCATCGAGGAACGATTCGAGCTATGTAAGTAGATACACAATACTATATTCGGCACTCTAATTCTACTAGGATCTATCATGAGCAATGCTTGGTGTTATATGCATAAACAGTGCAGGCACATTCCAAGGGGGAGAGGGAGGGGTGGTGGTATTGGTGTGAGATAAACAGAGGTAAAACAAAGAAAGAGAGAGAGAGAGAGATAGAGACAAAGATACAAAGAGAAAAAGTAAAAAAAAAAGCTATAACACAAACGCAATGAGAATTATGATCTCTTGTGCGATGGAAAAGTGTAGTTACAATTATGATTACACGGGTCGTAAAGACGAAGAAGAAGAAGAAGAAGAAGAAGCGTTATTTCGTGAGAAAGATCCGAAGCTTTGTCCACGTTTTATTGAACGCCGAAAACTAGAGCGCGAAAGCGAGAGAGAGAGAGAGGGAGAGGGAGAGAGAGATAGAGAAAGAAAGAGAGAGAGAGAGAGAGGATTAAGGGTTAAGGGTAATGTTAAGGGAAAAAGGGAAAATCGTGTTTATTGTCTGTACCTTCGTCTCGCTGCCGCCCTCGGTGTAAGGACGAGGGGTGCAGCTGCGGGGGATGGGGTGACCGCGGCTGCTGCAACGGCTGCAGCCGCGGCTGCCGATGGCGCCGCCGCACCCAGCCAGCTCCACGGCATCGCCGGCAACCTGTATCCTGCGTTTTCCCACGTTTTTTTTTTGTTTATTTTATTCATTAGTCCTTTGCCTTCAACACTTTTCTTTTCTTATCTTTTCATTTCCTTCCCTTTCTATTATCCCCTTTTTCTTAGTCGAATCGCGTAACGACGCGCGTCACGGCGCCCTCGGTCTACTGGTCGAGACTCTTTTTCTTTTTTTTTATTATCCTTTTTTTTTTTTTTTTTTTTGTTTTATCGTCAAATATCTTTTCGAAATTTAACATTTTAGAAAGGCAGGACGGTAGAAAGAAATTAAAANTTTTTTTTTTTTTTTTGCCTTCAATCGATTACCCGTTACGACGATATATTCCGCTACAACCTAATCCCCGATCCTTAATCCCGCGCGACCTAGATTTTTTTCCCACTTATCTCGTGACGTACATGAAGTGGGTTGCTGATTATTTCCAACTGGCAGGTTGGATCGGTCGCATTTATTGAGGACGAAAGGAAATAATAGAAGAGAAAGAGAGATAGAGATAGATAGATAGATTGTTTTAATTCGACTAGTATTAGGTAAATTTTGAGATGTTTGCGTGGGGGACGTCCCGTCGCGCGCGCAGTCCGAATATGCAAATGTCAAAGAAAAGTCTTATCTTCGATGAGTACACGGTCCATTGGGGAACAGGGGGGGGGGAGGTGTGGGGGGAATTATCGAGATAACGAATAAATTTTCCAACGAGGTCGGTCATTCATTCAATCTTTATGCGAGTTTGAGAAGCTTCCTTATTTTCCTTTAGGAAAATGTGTCGATATTTTACGAAACCCACCACTAGTCTACTACTGTTCGCGTGTCGCCGAATTACGAATATACATACGATGATAACAATAACACACATACACCCACCCCCACCCCATTCACCTTTATCGCGATCTTCTTTTTATATACTATCCCTTGTAAACGTTTTATTTCTTTCCGTCCCCTATACGACGACCCTATTCTTTGATAGTCATTTTTCCTTCCTCTTCGTAAAGATCTTTTCCCTTATTCCAATTGGCTTCTCTTGTTGGTGGATGGATAAGAGCGCGATCGAAGTGATTCGTATTTCGCGTGTTCTCCGTAATTAAGACCGAAACAACACATTCTACTCGCGATATGATCCCATCTTTTGGAAAGCTCGATAAACCGTGTCGTGCAAATTACGAGGTGCCGTCTTTTTCGCCTAATTTCCGCCACGAAATAAACTCGCGATACTGACCGAATAAAAGTTATATTTTCATTCGAACAACTTGAAATGTTTATATATATATATATATATATCATTGACCGGATATTACTTATTAACCGATCTCTTTCTCAACGATATTTTATTAACGATCTTCATTTTTATCTTTAAAACTATTATCTAATTGTAATATAATTATAAGTAAGTATTGAAATTAATGCGAGAAAGAACAAGCGTTGTTTGTTCGAACGTTCAATGATATCGGGGATACGAGTAAACGAAAGAAACTAAGAACCATCCATCGATAACGACTAGAGGAAATGATAGCGAGAGAGAGAGAGAGAGAGAGAGAGAGAAAAGAGGGTTGCTCGAGTAATTATTATGATCGAATCCAATGCCTAGAGGCTTCGAGACTACGATGGAAATTACGAGAAACGGAGGGAAAGAGAATAGAGGGGTGCCTGCGGAAGGAGATGAGAGGCTTGAACGAGCCTCTACGAAGGGGTTGATGCCGTAGAGAGACGAGAGAGAAAGAGAAAGAGAGAGAGAGAGATGTGCTTGCTGCTGAGCGATCAATAAATGCTGCTGCCAGCATCCACCCGCACCAGTTCTCTCACTCACTCTCTCTCTCTCTCTCTCTTCGTCTACACGTTTCTTTCTCCTTCTCTGTTATCCATCTTTGTCATACTCCACTACCTTTCATTTCTCTTACATTATTTTCTCTCTACGCTTTTCACAGATACACATTTTTCGTCTATCATGTTTTTTTTTTTTTTTATAACAATTTGTAAAGGAAAATAAGAAAACATACGACCATTGGGAATGATCGAACGCGAAAAACGTATTTCTAAAATAACGCTTGATGATCTCTACCCAAATTGAATATAATCTTCTCGTTGAATTTTTGTTCTTTTTCGCGTAATCATCGACCGATCGGAAGTAGATAATTGGGGAAAAAAAAAGAAAGTGTAAAAAGAGATCATTAACGGAACGATATGAACGTTAACCAGACATAAAAGGAGAACAGAGGTCGAACTACGAACACGTGCGGGACGCTGACTCGTCCAAAAATAAAACTCTCAAACTTGCTTCGTAAAATACAAGGGGAGATGATATTGAAAGGACGCTTTTACATCCAACCCTTTCCCTTCCTTACCCTTCCCTACCCTTCCCTATCTCTATTCGAGTTTTGAAATATATTAAGCAAAATATAAGAATTATCACTAAAGATCCTATTCGTTGATACGTAATTAATGTTAAATTACATAATTCAATAAAAAAGATGCTGAATTTTATAGATTAAGTTGCTGAAGAAGTCCCAATAAAGGGACGAAACATTCAACTAATCAAAACGAGAAGAAATTCCCTAAGATACCTATTTATTAAATTACAAGATTTGCTCTGGAAAATAAAGAAACGTTTTTTTTTTTTTTTATCATTTTTTTACGCGGATTCGGAATATTTCCATTCGTACGGAGTAATATTTTGTTGGCAAAAAAAAAAAATGAGTCTCTAGCCGACTGATGTGCGCCGTGCCACACGGATTTTCTTTCCATCGATATAATCAAATATTACTAAATATTTTTAAACGACTTTTTTTGTTTGTTCAAGATCAATATTAATTTTTAACAAGATCGGTGCTGTCATGGCAGCCTGCATAGGAAGAGCTACAACAGGATGATAAGATAAATGGAAATAAGAGAAGAAAAAAGAAAAGGTGGATAGTAGAGAAAGAGAAAGAGAAAGAGAGAAATATATATATGTATATATATGTATATATATATATATATATATAAGAGAGAAAAACATACATTTTCAAGAAAAATAAAGCGATCTCATAAAAGGAGGCCAGGCATGCTTCTCGTTCTCTTTTATCGTGCCGATGAAAGAGAATCATTACTCCCTTTGAAACTAATAGCAATTAGACGATATACGATACATACATGTGTTGTACGCATCGGACCAATAAAAAGGGGGAAAAAAGAGAAAATCAAATAAATAAAAAAAAAAAAGAGAAAAAAAAGAACAAGAATACGCACAATAGATATACGTCCGAGGAGAAAGTAAAAGGGGAATAGAAAAAGAAAATTTTTCAAAAAAATAGAAAAAAAAAAAAGAAAATAAAAATGAATAAAATTAGACTCTACGAAAGAAGAGTATAATAAGAACAAAGTACGAAAGAAAAGGATACAGAAAGAGGAAAGAGATCGGCCTCAATAAAATCTACTTACATCAGCCTTTCGTAATGTACATAACATGTAGGTGCAATTATTGTTAATTGACGTACGACTGCCAGGACGCACGTATCATACGTATGAAATTATAATGTATTATAATCTATAGATACGTATCTCTATTGTAGTTATACATTATACGCGTATTCAATCGCAATTAATTCGTAAATCGAGCGATTAATTACGCAATGAATACGAGCGATATAAATACATACATACATATATGCATGCGTGCATATATGTATAGACATGTTCTACGATACGTATACAGAGAAATGCGCGTATATACACGTAACGCGTACGTGCTACACGAGCGTAGGTACTCGTGAAGCAAACGCAAACGCTTCTTATATATACGCCTGTCTTTATGTCTATATGTACGCTATATATATGTATTTTGGTACGCGTGCATACATATTATACATGTACACGTCATCAATAAATAAATTGTATATATATATATAAAGAAGTATCATACGTTATAGCAAAGAGATATACGAGATCGCGTACATACATACATATATACATAAGTCATAGGTGAATCTCATATGAAGGCAAGCCAAGGCCACGACATGAGACGTGCAAATTAAAAAAGGTAATAATATTAAAAAAAGAAGCAAGTAAAAAATTCTCTCCCAAAACCGCTCCAACCACAACCAAGCACAACCACAGGCAAGGTACGGGCCTTTGTCAACGAGACAGTCATCAACCAGTGAATATGTGGCGCATTACCGTGATTATATATTGTGTAATAGTAACAATTTAAAAATCTATATAATATACATATATATATGCATGTTGAGAGAGCGAACATATTAGATGAATATACATATGTATAT